TTCCTCAAGTTTAGTTCCTCTCCAGTAGTAAATTAAACTGCTTAGCGATTCGGTGTTTTAATTTTTTTTTTTCGCAAAACCCTGACCTTCGATTTTAACTGCCATACAACCAATTGCAATAAGCAAAAGTTTTGTTATTTCAAAATGTGAACCTCCGTTCAGTCATATTGCAAAATTGCGTAGATCAGCGGTTGTTTCGGCGTAATAATGTAGCAAATTGTAGTCTTACAGAGCTTAATACAAAATAGGTGAGGTCCTCACTGGGATCCCGGCAGCCTCCAGTTGACGCAGGGCCAAGATTGCAAATTATGAATCAAAATTTTCCAAGTTTCCTGCTGATGTGTTCAGCACATCTTAGCTAGGACTAAAATCAAAAAAATGTAATAGGTTGTTGGATAAGCTCGTGCCGTTTTTTTTCAAACTTAAAAATATTCTTGAAAAGCTGATTTTGAAGGCATCCATCTTTTGAAAGTGGAAGTATTCCTCTACAAAACTGCGTATACTTGTTTAACAAACAGCTTACTGAATTAGAACTGATTAAAAATAGTTCAACTGAACCAAGCGACACCTTAGTGTCTAAAAGTGAGGATTACGATAGGTATACGACGTAGGGTCAAATTTACGGGCTAAAGTTCATATCGGGGTTAAGTGACATGCCGCTCACAAAAATCATGTCAATTTCCCATGGTGAAGCTATTTCGCACTATAAACATATAATTATCCAATTTTTTTCAAATCAGTGATTTTAACTTTCTGTATACATCCACCCTAATTTTACATTGACGGCTTATTATGTGACATCGATATCGTTCATGCAATCAGCACGTCAAATAATCCCACTAGACCATTTTTTAGAGAAATCTGTAATTTTATCACTGTAGTATAAACTTATCGTAATCTTACAGCAAGGCTCTATCGCGAGGAATGAATATGTGTATCAGCATAATTATAATCGGTTGCTATTTGATCCTCTAAATTTTCAATTCTAATCAATTTCAAATTAGCAACTGAAATCACTGGATAAGTTAAGTACATCTGTAAAAAAGACTTATTCCTTTAAACGATATATAATATGCCAAAACTCAAACTTTACCGGAAATTCTTGAATTTGAAAGAAAACGCACGAACTCATCTGACAACCTAAAAGATTCTAATTGACGTT